CGTATAACCACGTCGATTCAAATGACAAAAATACATGGAAATAATATTCAGAATTTGTTTAAAATTTGCAAAAGTTTAGATACAGAGGAAATATTTGGTCGAATATAATAATATTATAGTATAATAATATAGTATAATAATATTGATTTAGACAGCTACAGTGCAGAGATGTATTTTTTAATATTTATTGCGATTTGACTGAAATATTCCGAATTTTGTTAATCGAAATGATTAACTTTTGTCAGAGAATTTCGCCTTGTGACAGATACATTTACATTACATGTTAATTCGGTGCAAATTTAATCCTTATAACTTGTGAACGCTTTAATGAATCGACTTAAAAATTATACTGAAGATTCTAAACATATGTAAGGACATTCTGTACAATTTTCATTAAATTCTCAATATTTTGAAAATAGGTACAAAATATCCTTAATTTTCCGTTGTGTGTGTATGTTATGAATGTATAAATGATACATATTCTAAGCATTAATCAAATGTAAGATCTTTTATTATACATAATTTCTTTTTTTAGTTATAAGAAAGTTTTTTTTATTTAAGGATGTTTTGTATGTACAATCCCAGCAAAAAGTAACTGAAAATCAATATTTACGAATATATCCACTTTTGGTGTATTTTGAGTATGAGAAATTGCGTGAATATTCCAATTTGATCTTAGCTACAGTGCAGAGATGTATTTTTTAATATTTATTGCATTTTTACTGAAATATTCCGAATTTTGTTAATCGAAATGATTAACTTTTGCCAGAGAATTTCGCCTTGTGACAGATACATGGCTAACTTTATTGAATTATATTTAATACCTTTTTAACCAGTTAGTACTTGTATAATATTATTTGACCAAATATTTCCTCTGTATCTAAACTTTTGCAAATTTTAAACAAATTCCGAATATTATTTCCATGTGTTTTTGTCATTTGAATCGTCGTGGATATTCGTTTCCCATAAGAACACCATGTTAATTCGGTGCAAATTTAAATCCTTATAACTTGTGAATGCTTTAATGAATCGATTTAAAAATTATACTGAAGATTCTAAACATATGTAAGGACATTCTGTACAATTTTCATTAAATTCTCAATATTTTGAAAATGGGTCAAAACATCCTTTTCATTAAATTCTCAATATTTTGAAAATAGGTCAAAACATCCTTAAATAGATAACGATCGAATAATTTTCATTAAGTCGCCAAACATTTGCCCAACTTATAAAATCGATTTAGTATCTGAAGCTTCTCTATTGAGATTGTATCAGAAATTAAATCAAAGTAATATTTCTTATTTTATCTATCACTCTTTATATAATTCTTATGACTAAAACTTAAACACGAGAGAGATTTCAATCATAGCAATAAACGAATGAGCTAGCAACTGATTTTACAGTGAAATTTACTGGTTTTACAGTGAATTTTATTTTAACTGGCCATAATCAATGAGATATAAGATAAAATAAGCGAAACATAAGCGTTTCCACTGAACATCAATAAAATACTCACTGATTCTCAGTGAAATCTTATTTTACTGTTTAAATTAGTGATGATACATTTGCAATTATTCACTTTTAGAGAGTGCATAAACGTAGTATTTAAACGTGCATAAATTCGCGAACGAGCGTTCATTCATTAATCCTGTCGACTATTTTTAGAACGACGGCAACTATTTCCTCGCTCGTTTCGTTATTTCACGTAAGGCGGAAATTTGCATGAATATGCGAAGAGTATATACTTTCGTATTGCGAGGAATACGTTTTTCGATTCCCGCGGTCTCACCTCCCGAGAAAATATATTCGCGATGTCATATTCCTTTGTTTGAAACTCAAAGTTGCGTCCCTGCCGGTTCCTAGCCCAAGATCGATAATGTGCCGAGTAACGTATTCTGTGGAAACTCTCGCATATGTCGCTTGCATTGGAAAAATGAAACTACGCCTGCAACTTAATCTAATCACGGACAGGTATAAATTTTCCGACGATAATTTATCATTATGTGATAGAGTAAACACGGAATTTTATAGAGAAATTGTACATATTTCATATCTTAGTTACAGGGTGTCCCAAAAGTCCCGGACCGATCGAATATTTCATAAACTATGCACTTTAGAAAGAAATGTTTCAGACAAAGGTTGTATGGCTTGAAGGGAGCCATCAGATAGTGGCAATGATTTGACATGGGAGAGTCATTTGAAAGTCACGTGAAGATCACCGTCAATTTCTTTAATGGAATCCCATATTTTTTATTACATATTCGGGTAGCTTATCTCGAGAGCTTTCCAAAACACTATAATAAAGTATTTCTTCATTGAGTACTTTTCGAGTTATGAGGCTTGAAATCATTTTTTAATTTTGCATAAACCATAAAATATCTAGTAAAATATTTATTTTCCCATTATCTTACCTTAATACTTTTCTGTAGAAAATAATGAAAGGAATCAATTGGTGTAAAAAAAAAACACATAGCTGTTTCGGAGAAAAAAATATGTAATTTGCAATTAACAATTACATATTTTTTCTTCGAAACAACTATGTGTTTTCTTTACACCAATTGATTCCTCTCATTATTTTGTACATAAAATTATTGAGGTAAGATAATCGAAAAATGAATATTTTACAAGATATTTTACAGTTTATGTAAAATTAAGAAATGATTGCAAGCCTCATAACTCGAAAAGTACTCAATGAAGAAATATTTAATTATAGTGTTTTGGAAAGCTCTCGAGATAAGCTACGCGAATATGTAATAAAAAATAGGGAGTTCCATTTAAGAAATTGACGGTGATCTTCACGTGACTTTCAAATGACTCTCCCATGTCAAATCATTGCCACTATCTGATGGCTCCCTTCAAGCCATAGAACTTTTGTTTGAAACATTTCTTTCTAAAGTGCATAGTTTATGAAATATTCGACCGGTTCGGGACTTTTGAGACACTCTGTATAATTTTTCTCTTCGGTATAAATCATCTTAAATTTATTTCTTTCCTTGCAGTGCATCATGAAATGATGCATATAAATGGAAGGTCGTAAAGTTTCAAATAATTCAAGGTATTAAGTTTTATATTTTTGAATCTCATCGAACCGTTTTGTTTTTTCCATTCTAGAAGATATTTTTGAAATTAATCATACGATGATATCATTTATGTAATTATATATGTGGTAAAATAAAATTTGGTTAATCTTTCGTGTCGATCAGGAACGATTATTAATATCTATAATCATTATAATTATCGTCAAAAAATATTTTTGAATACTCGTCGTTTTCATATTATTTTTAATTCTTAATACTTCTTTAAACTTAATTGACTGTGAATTTAAATGAAACTCCTTCTCGAAATCACATTACCACTTATTCCCATCGACTGTTTAGTTGTAAGCTTTTAGAACATTTAATATAGGGGAATAATATATGGACTAATATTATTATTAATATTATTAATAATATTATTATTAATTTATATATTTTTAACATCTTGACATCTTCGGCGATTCTATTATATAATGTATAAAGCCAACTATTGCCATAACTATTTCCAATTATCTCCACAACTATTTGCGATATGTTCGATATTAATCTGGATATCCGCGATGTAGGAAAAATATATACAAGAATAATATATGTATATAAATAATAAAATATGTATATAGGAAAAATGTATAAATAGTTTAATAATTAATAAGTTTGACATATGAAACACATGTGTCGGGTATATATTTAATATGTACTTTTAATCTAATTTTGCAACGAACAGTTTTAAAAACGATTGTTTTCACACACACATATTCTTTATTTTTTATTTCTTAATTTATTTATTTATCATTTATTTATTATTTATTTATTATTCTTTATTTATTATTCTTTATTTATTTATTATTTATTTATTATTCTTTATTTTTTTAGAATAATTTGTAGTTAGATTTAACAATTACAAAATTATAATTTATTACATTTAAAAACAATTAGACGTGTTTTACTCGAGTTTTGCTCAAGTTTTCCAGTGAAAAAAAAACTTTGCGAAGACTAAAAGTTTTTTTTACAGATGACGTGCGTTTTTCCGCGATAATGTCCTCGGATGGTTTTTATTCTCTTTCTCGAGTGCTCGTATTAAGTTTATCTTGGAAAAATCAACCGCTCTAGACTTGCAAGTGGTGAACTCGCGAGAATATGCTCGATTATTATTGCAGTTCTCGGTGGTTACGAAGTCGCAAGAAAATATCACTGTCGCGACTAACTCGCGACAAACTATTTTTCTGCACGAGCCCGGTATACGTAATTATAGAGAAAGAGAGAGAGAGAGGAGGAAGAGGGAGTACCATGCAATTATATATTGCCTAGCTGTGCAATAAATGAATGTAAAAGGAAAAAGAAAATTATACATGTCATGAGCAATTTTCCTTGTCTATTCAACCCTTTTTTTGCCCTAAATTTCTAAAGAATTATCGAATACATTTTTTCATACACTGAGGGAAAAATTTTTTTAAACCAAATAAATTTGTTTTCTTGAAACTTTTGATTTAAATGCAAGGAATTGTTTATTTCATTTAAGCAAAAGTATTTAATTTTAATTAAATATGCATGTTATATTAAGTACATTATTTTCATTTATATATTTTTTATATTTAAATACTATTTTCGTAAAATATGTACTATAATTTATTGAATTAAATATGTTATTTTTTAGAATTAAAAAATTTTAAATTTTTGGGAATAAAAAATGCATTTTAATAAATCTTTTGTAAAATTAAAATAAAAATATTTAATTGAAAATTATATATTTTTTTAAGCATATATATATTTTTAAACATATGTAAATAAATACTTAACTTAAGCAAACAGACGTTTTGAATACAAGTAAATACGTGATTAGTACCGAATAAATAGCTTTCTTGAGTTAGCTAAAATTTTTTTTATTTCAAGATAATTTTTTCCCCAGTGTATCGATTTCTTCTATTTATTATCATCATCCTTTACATTGATATAATCTTATTGCAGATGGACAACAAATGGTGCCTACTCTCTGCGAACTTTCGGCACGATGCGTCGCATCTCATATTCCCTTCGAGTTGGTGGAACACTTCTATCCTCCTGTACCGGAGCAACTCCAGCTGAGAATAGCTTTCTGGAGTTTTCCCGATAACGAAGAGGATATACGGCTTTATTCGTGTCTCGCGAATGGTAGTGCCGATGAATTTCTCCGGGGCGAACATCTCTACCGTGCCAAAACCGTCAAGGAGCCATTGCAGATCGGTAAAATACCTTGCGCTTCATTTATTCCCATTTGACGATTTTTCTTTTATCGGAGAAAAAGGAGTATCGTTATAAAGAAGAATCTTGTTTTTTCTTTAATATCCTATGAGCTTCCAATATCGATAAATGTATATATAATATCATATTAAATGCATATCATATTAAAATGCATATTAAATGTATATCAAGTTTATATTTAATAGTTTATGATATATAATATAGAATGAAAATATAGATAAAGAGCTTACAAAAAATGTTATGTTAGCAAAAAATACTCAATAATTTGTCGATATTAGTAAAGTTCACATAAGACTCAAGAACAAAACAAAATAATATTCCTAAAAATATTGTATTGATATTGAAAACTTTCGAAAAAACTTGTCTAAATTTTGAATCTTTGTAACAAAAATTTCGTTTTGTGCTGTCTTATCTCAATTTTATTAACATTTTTTATTTAATATTGAACAAGTGTTTAAAATCATATTTAACATAATCTTTATAAGGAGTATTATTGTAAAGAAGAATCTTGATTTTTCTTTAATATCCTATGAGCTTCCAATATCGATAAATGTATATATAATATCACATTAAATGCATATTATATTAAAATGCATATTAAATGTATAACAAGTTTATATTTAATAGTTTATAATATATAGAGTGAAAATATAGATAAAGGGCTTACAAAAAATGTTATGTTAGCAAAAAATACTCAAAAATAATTTGTCGATATTAGTAGAGTTCGCATAAGACTCAAGAACAAGACAAAATAACATTCCTAAAAATATATTGTATTGATATTGAAAATTTTCGAAAAAACTTGTCTAAATTTTGAATGAATTTTTGTAACAAAAATTTTATTTTGTTTTCTTATCTCAATTGTATTAACATTTTTTATTTAATATTGAACAAACTGTTTAAAATTTAACATAATCTTTATAATATAATTTAAGATATTTATTTCTATTTATATAATTGTTATCTCCCAAACATCAAAAAATCACATATAATCTGAGAATTGTATGCAAAGGTTTATGTAAAATTTTATATTATTTATTTTGTTTATTGTATAATTGTTTTAAAATTTGTTAATTTGTTAAATGTTTTTATTTATTCAATCAATTTTTTTTTAAGTTTATATGACATAGCGATTTTTTTCTCATCCAATTTCCAAAGATACATATTTTAGCTTTTTTGGGAACCAATAATCTTAACAATTTTTTGATATAATCTTGAATCAAATTAAAAATCTTGTTTCAAATTTCGAGATAAGACAAGACAATATTAAGACTGATTCTGATATTTCATGCAACTCTGTAGATTAAGATTTTATATATATTACACTGTTTCCGTAAAATGTCTCTTGTGTAAATAATCTCTTTTTACCTATAATTTTTTGTATCAATTATCTTATTATGCGCGTTATATTAAACAGGATTCCATCTGAGCGCCAGCGTAAACTCGCAAACGAATGGGGTCAGAGCGCAGTTCAACGTCGCTGTAACCTTTGACCGACGCAGGATCACATCATGTAACTGTACCTGCTCCTCCACGGCCTATTGGTGCGCACACGTGGTAGCCGTTTGCCTACACAGAATACACATGGTATATGCATCTTAAATTTAAAGAGATACGCGATGAACCTAAAATAATGAAAGAGGGTTTAGATAGCTTTCGGTGAAGTTTATTTTATTTTTTTTTTATCTTGGCTTGTACATGTATGTGCAGTCGGAAATAAAATTCGTTCCTTTATCATCCAATTTTTCAACTTGATTATTTCAATTGTAAACGCAATACTCTTTCAGCCAACACAAGTATGCCTGAGGGCGCCGGTTAGTGAATCCTTATCTCGTCTGCATCGGGAACAACTGCAAAAGTTCGCTCAATACCTCATCAGTGAATTGCCGCAGCAGATTTTACCTACTGCCCAGCGGCTTCTGGACGAGCTACTCTCGACCCAACCGAGCGCCATCAACAGTTACTGCGGAGCACCAGATCCAACAGCCGGTGCTTCCGCTCACGATCAGACTTCCTGGTACTTAGACGAGAAGACGTTGCACGATAACATCAAGAAGATCCTCATCAAGTTCTGCGTTCCAGCTCCCATAGTCTTTAGGTGAATAGCGCCGCTTGACAAGCAAGCTTCGCCCATACAGGGACCAAAAGTCTGGATACAGTCGAATATCTCGTGTAGAATGCATTTTAGAACAAAATGCTTTAGACAAAAGTTGTAAGGATTAAGAAGATGTATGTAACTGTAATATCCATTTGATATTGAGTGGCGTCGCCAAGGTCAGGGCAAGATCAATTTGAATTTTTTAAATGGAACCCCCTATTTTCGTTACATATTCTTGTAGCTTACCTCGAGAGCTTTCCAAAACACTATAATAAATTATTTTTCCCTCAAGTACTTTTCGAGTTACGAGGCTTTGAAATTATTTCTTAATTTTACATAAAATATTACGTAAAATATCTTGTGAAATATTCTTTAAAATATTCTTTAAAATAATCATTTTTCGATTATTTTACCTTAATACAATTGGTGTAAAGAAAACACATAGTTATTTCGATGAAAAAATATGTAATTTGCAATCAACAATTAAATATTTTTTCTTAAAAGTAATTATGTGTTTTTTTACAATTGATTTCTCTCATTATTTTTTTCAATTGATTCCTCTCATTATTTTATACATAAAAGTATTAAGGTAAGATAATCGAAAAATGAATATTTTACTCGATATTTTATAGTTTATATAGTAAAATTAAGAAATTACTACTTCAAGCCTCGTAACTCGAAAAGTATTTAATGAAGAAATACTTTATTATAGTGTTTTGGAAAGCTCTCGAGGTAAGCTACAAGAATATGCAATGAAAAATATGAGATTCCATTTAAAAAATTCAAGTTGACCTTGCCCTGACGCCACTCAATGTCAAATGGATATTACAGTTAATTACATCTTTTTAATCCTTACAACTTTTATCTAAAGCATTTTGTTCTAAAATGCATTCTATACGAGATATTCGACTGCATCCGGACTTTTGGTCCACCCTGTATAATAACTTAGCTGATGACATGTCTCTTTCAGTGATGTTAATTATTTGAGCACTACCGCGCCGCCAGCTGCTTCCGAATGGGCATCGTTGCTGCGACCGTTGAGAGGTCGCGAACCGGAGGGCATGTGGAACCTTCTTTCCATTGTGCGAGAGATGTTCAAGAGAAATGATCGCAACGCCATCCCTCTTTTGGAGATCATCACGGAGGAATGCATGGCCTGCGAGCAGATCCTCGTCTGGTGGTTCAACACCAAAGTTGCATTACTGAACGGCACTGGATACGGCAGCAAGCATAATATGAACAGCAACGTTCACGCATCTCAACATGCGTGCTCATCTCTGTGCGATGAGATCGTTGTTCTTTGGCGATTGGCCGCTCTCAATCCCGGTCTCTCTCCTTCGGAACGCGAGATGTTGCACGCTCAATTTATGAATTGGCATTTGAGGATTATGGATAAAGTGAGCATCGCGTACCTCAAAGTTTCTTTCTCTTCTCTCTTCTTCTACGTAATTCGGGCAAAGGCACACTGAGAAAAAAATCTGGTTGCATTAATTAGAATTCTGATAGATTCAATCAGTATGTCTGTTGGAAAATGGACGAACCAGAATTCTTGTAGGAATTACCAGATGAATCTGATAAATTTCTTGCTGTTAAATTTACCAAATTTTCTGGTTAATACTAAACTCGCCAGCACCAAGTCGTCTAAAATTTTTTCGATCTAATCTCAAAAGTCTGTTTAATATTCTGAATTCCAACAAGATTATTGGATAAATTCAATCCAGATTATTGAATAAATTATTTTAAATTCAGTTTGTTAGAAATTAAACTAATAAACAGTGATGCAAGAAGAGGATGCAGCTCAAACACACACAATCAAAGAGCTCATCCTCTTTCTGGCACTACTGTTCGTAAGAAAAAAAAAATATACTTTGGATTTAATGTTAATACTAGTTTTTTATATACATTTCATGGCAAATATTGAATACGAGTTAAGTTAAGAGTGGCAAGCAAAGAAATTAATGTAACAAGAAATTTTATAGATCTAACCAGAAAACACTAACCAAATCTTTATAGTAAAATCTATTAAACGTTCTAGTTATAAAAAATCGAGTCTTGATGTTAACTAGAAATTCTTTGATTTGAACTGCCTGCCTAAAATGCCTTCAATCATATATGTCTTGTTGGTATAATCAAACGATTTTTCTCAGTGCAAGTTTAACAAATTAATTATGTGTTTACAGGTCGCCAAATGCCGTGGCGGAAGTTCTGTTTCACATAACTCACATAACAGAAGCAACAGTTCGCAGAAAGATTCTCTGAAACATGATCTCACAGTCTTCACCGGATTCAAGTCGGCACTTGAGGCTTGCTACTTAGATTGGGATGAATACGTCTTGCCGGGAATCACGTATACCGCCGAGAATAATCCTATGTATCATTGTCCTTTCACCTGTTTTCGACATGCTGGCGATACGAGGACGGAAGTTAATCAGGTTGGCAGTCGTTTTCGCAACAAATTATTGTCATATCGATTAAGTAAATACAGGGTGGACTAAAAGTCCGGATACAGTCGAATATCTCGTATAGAATGCATTTTAGAACAAAATGCTTTAGACAAAAGTTGTAAGGATTAAAAAAAAAATTTAACTGTAATATCTATTTGACATTGAGTGGCGTCGCCAAAGTCAGGGCAAGATCAACTTGAATTTTTTAAATGGAACCCTCTATTTTTCATTGCATTCTTCATGCATTCTTATACCTTACCTCGACAGATTTCCAAAACACTATAATAAAGTATTTCTTCATTGAATATTTAGGCTTGAAGTAATTTCTTAATTTTACATAAACCATAAAATATCTAGTAAAATATTCATTTTCGATGATCTTACCTTTATACTTTTATATAGAAAATAATGAAAGGAATCAATTGGGGTAAAGAAAACACATAGTTGTTTCGAAGAAAAAATATGTAATTGTTAATTGCAAATTACATATTTTTTTCTCCGAAACAGCTATGTGTTTTTTACACCAATTTATTCCTTTCATTATTTTCTACAGAAAAGTATTAAGGTAATATAATGGGAAAATGAATATTTTACTAGATATTTTATGGGTTATGCAAAATTAAGAAGCTTACTTCAAGCCTCGTAACTCGAAAAGTATTCGATGAAGAAATACTTTATTATAGTGTTTTGGAAAGCTCTCGAGCTACAAGAATATGCAATGAAATATAATATGCAATAACAAATATGGGTGGGGTTCCATTTAAAAAATTCAAGTTGACCTTGCTCTGACCTTGGCGACGCCACTCAATGTCAAATGGATATTACATTTAAATACATCTTTTTAATGCTTACAACTTTTGTCTAAAGAATTTTGTTCTAAAATACATTCTATACGAGATATTCGACTGTATCCAGACTTTTGGTCCACCCTGTATAATAGGTCGGGAAACACTATAATCGCGTCTATTTCAGGTAAATTCCAGTTCAGCGGTATTGAATTATCAACCACCGATCTCGCATCATCACGGTCGACGGCCGTTGAATGTCGGCCTTGTCGAATACGGCTATTTGGATAGACGGCGGCTGAATCCGCGCGAATTTCCAATGTGTTCGAGAAGCGGCGGCGGCGACGGAAATCGCAGCAGCGTTAGCTCCGAAGGTTTCTGCGAGAATGATACCGACATTCCCGATATATCTGAATCTCAGGTTGTTCTTAGACAAGGTTGTGCTCAATTAAATAATTGCGGCGACACTGATTCGCAGGTTATTATTATTCTCTCTTTTTCCTATTCAGATCTGTTTTATAGTTATATTATTATTTATAGTTATTATTGTATAGTTATTATTTATAGTTATTATCTTTTTTATTTACTCTCTAAAAGTGAGTCAGTGAAAATATCACTAATTTAAACAGTAAAATAAGATTTCACTGAGAATCATTGAGTATTTTACTGATCTTCAGTGGAAATGTTTATTTTTTTGTTATTTTATCTTATATCTTACTGATTATAGTCAGTTAAAATAAAATTCACTGTTGTAAAATCAGTAAATTTTACTGTAAAACCAGTAATCGCTAGTTCGTTCATTTATCGCTACAATCGCTATCTCTCTCGTATTTAATTTTAGTTACAAGAATTATATGAAGTTTGCAAAGAGCGACATTTAAAATTAGAAGTATTACTTCGATTTAATTTCTGATACAAGCTCAATAGAGAGGCTTCGGATATTAAATCGATCTTTATAAGTCGAACAAATAAATGTCTGACGACTTAATGAAAATTATTCGTTCGTTATCTATTAAAATAACAAGTTCAATATGCATGTAATATAAATAAAATAAAATTTTTAATATAATAATATTTAGTAAATATAAATAAAATTTTTAATTTTATATGAAATAGATAGAGAGATGAATTATAGTTAAATATTACTGACAATAACGAAAGAAATATTACTGATATTGAGAAATATTACTGATTGAAACAGTCAAAATTATTAACTGATTCTTTCAATAAAATATCACTGATTTACAGTGCTGAACGTATAACTGCTGTAATCAGTGATTATTTACTGCTTTTCAGTGATAATACTGATTCACTTTTAGAGAGTAGATATTTTGTTGAAAATCACAACGCATTATTTTAGGAAGGGGCCGGTAGCGAGTCATCTTCCAACAGTAATGTTAGCATGAAGAACGCTCAAGGCTCGGACAAGCATCGCTCAAACGCCTCGTCCGAGACACATAGTGATAGTAGTGATAGTAGTAATAACAAACCTACTTGCGAGAATGGAAAGTGTAGTAGGACGAATCTCGCGGAGTGTCGTGACAAGTCGCGCGCGGCTGCGTCCAAAGGGGTTGGTATTAAAAACGAACAAGAATCCGATCAGGAAAAGGAAGCCGGTAGACCGTTTAAGGATGAGAGCTCCTCGTCCAGTAGTGACAGTCCTTCCGGTGACGAATACAATGTTTATTATTACGATCCGAAAACAGTGACTAATAATAGCGGTCTGCCGAGTAAATATGTTAAAAGCAATATGCATGCCCCCACCACTGCGGATGCTAGTATAGTTCTGAATAATTTGAAGAAGACGGAAGATCCATGGGACATTCTATTCGCGCGGGCTGAGGGGCTTTACGCTCATGGTCATACGAGGGAAGCCTGTATTATTGGAGTACAACTAGCCGAGGAACTCTTGGCAAACCCTCCCGATCTTATGATCGAGGGGCCGCCAGTACCGGTGAAAAACAAGCGGAAAAGGGTAAGATTTTTGAGAATAAAAAAATGTAGATTTGAAATAATGTTAATTAAATATTAAATCAACAAAACGAATATGTTGTCGGTACAGCAACATGTGAACCCGGCATCTCATCAAGTAACGTGTCTCGCATCAGCGACTTTAGCAAAATGTGGATTTCTATGCACGGTACTTGCCGAGAATCCGGAATATCATAATTTAGCATTTCGTGTAGGTCTTTTTGGCTTGGAGATGGCTAGACCACCGGCTAACACGAAACCTTTGGAGGTAAGAAAAATTGAATGGCATGACTAAAAAGTAAATTTTATTTTATATCATTTGTTGAAAATTAATTATCTTATTTTTAATCTAACTCAAGGTCAAGCTTGCTCATCAAGAAAGTGAGTTGGTAGGTTTGCTAAAAAGAATTCCTTTGGGACCGACAGAATTAGCTATGATAAAACAGAGAGCCGAACAACTAAGAGATGGTGTTATGAGATCAAGAGGACACGCGCTCTTGCCCATTATGTTAGCTAGCTTCATATATGATGCGCTTGACGTACCAAGTATGGAATATTATGTATTCAATAATACACATATATATATATATATATATACCTTGAAATGATTTTTTTACAAATAGATATCTCATTGTACGTTTACAATTATAAGTAAAAAAGATTATGTACTTCTTATATTTTATAAACAGGAAATAAAAATATGAAATGTTTTGTGCAGGAGTGAAACTACCTGCAGAAATTGATCCAAATCTTGGATTTGATGCTGCTGTAGCTGTCTTGGGGTTGAAGGCGAATGTGAGCGAAGCGGATCATCCACTTCTTTGTGAAGGAACTCGTAGACAGAGGTAACTTTTGCGCTATTACGTATATATATATTTATACAGAGTGTTTCAGACCACCCGTACCACCCATTAAAAAACTAGAGAAGTGGTTATTTCAAAAAAGTAAAAACATTTTCTTCATAAATCGGGTGCGCTCTATCGAATGGTGATATTTTCAACTTCTAGTTCCGGCCGGAAATAGGCGATTCAGATCGGAAGTGCATTTTTTTAAATGGAACCTACTATTTTTCATTGCATATTCTTGTAGCTTACCTCGAGATCTTTCCAAAACACTATAAAAAATTATTTTTCCATGAAATACTTTTCGAGATATGAGGCTTGAAATCATTTCTTAATTTTACATAAACCATAAAATATCTTGTGAAATATTCATTTTTCGATTATCTTACCTTAATACTTTTATGTACAAAATAATGAGAGGAATCAGTTGTAAAGAAAACACATAGTTGTTTCTAAGAAGAAATATGTAATTTGGAATTAACAATTCAATATTTTTTCTTAAAAAACAACTGTATGTTTTCTTTACACCAATTGATTCCTCTCATTATTTTGTACATAAAAGTATTAAGGTAAGATAATCGAAAAATGAATATTTTACAAGATATTTTATGGTTTATGTAAAATTAAGAAATCATTTCAAGCCTCATAACTCGAAAAGTACTTTATGGAAAAGTGTTTGGGTGGTCTGAAACACCCTGTATATTTGTTAATGCAGATGATAAACATGTATAATTTTTTGTTTTTGTTTCAGAGGAGATTTGGCTATTACTTTGCTAGTGCATTACAAAGATGATCCCGTGAAATTGGCCAGAATCATGGACAAATTGCTGGATCGAGACGTTCATCAACTCATTAAGTCACCCATTCTCAGTAGTTATTACACTTCGAATCCACCTACTAAAAGCGAAGTAAAAGTCTAAGATATTCCGTGTCATATGAAAACTTGCGCGTAACATTTATTTAATAATATTTTGTCAAATTTTAGATGGCACGATTTGTTCATGACGAAGAACGCTCGTCGCCGCTTGGAACGGACAATGGTGGAAATGGTGATAACATCGTCGGCACTAGCAGTAGACCTCATAGTAGTACGAGCGCGGAATTGGAAAATGGTATCAGCGCACTAACCATACAACCGCCGATTGTTCAGCCACCTGTGCCTATTAGAACTAAAGAAACGCGGTGCGTTTTTTTATAGAAATATACAGGGTGTCCCAAAAGTCTCGGACCGGTCGAATATTTCATAAACTATGCACTTTAGAAAGAAATGTTTCAGACAAAAGTTGTATGGCTTGAAGGGGGCCATCAGATATCAATCAGGAATCAATTGGTGTAAAGAAAACACATAGTTGTTTAAAAAAAAAAAATGTAATTGTTAATTGCGAATTACATACTTTTTTCTTAAAAACAACTATGTTTTTTCTTTACACCAATTGATTCCTCTCATTATTTTGTACATAAAAGTATTAAGGTAAGATAATTGAAAAATGAATATTTTACAAGATATTTTACGATATTTTATTTTATGTAAAATTAAGAAATGATTTCAAGCCTCATAATTCGGAAAGTACGTAATGAAACCTAACTTAATTATAGTGTTTTGGAAAGCTCTCGACGTGAGTTACCAGAATATTTAATAAAAAATAGGGAGTTCCATTTAAGAAATTGACGGTGATCTTCACGTAACTTTTTTGATGGCCCCCTTCAAGCCATACAACTTTTGTCTGAAACATTTCTTTCTAAAGTGCATACTTTATGAAATATTCGGCCGGGCCGGGACTTTTGGGACACTCTGTATACATAATATATTGTATATTGTATAACATTACGTTGATATACCTTCTGCTTTTTTTTTAGATATAAGAGTAAAAGGCTATATCCATCTATTCCCAATCAGCCTTCGGAAGCGAGTGCGCACTTTATGTGCGAATTAGCAAAGACCGTGTTATCAAAGGCCGGTGGTACCAGCTCAACTTCTTTATTCACTCAACCATCTACCAGTCAAAATCATCATGGTCCGCACAGGGCACTTCACATGTGCGCCTTCCAACTTGGCTTGTATGCCCTCGGACTCCATAATTGCGTTAGCCCAAATTGGCTCAGTCGCACGTATTCGAGTCACGTATCCTGGATAACAGGCCAGGCGATGGAAATTGGTGCGCCAGCCATCTGGTTCCTCATTGATAGTTGGGAAGGACATTTGACGCCACCGGAAGCTGTCAGTATAGCCGATAAGTCTTCGAGAGGCAGTGATCCAAATATGGTTAGAGCGGCGGCGGAGCTTGCTTTATCTTGCTTACCACACGCACATGCGCTCAACCCTAATGAGATTCAGAGAGCCATATCTCAAGTATGTACAATGCAATCAAATATGTTATGCTCAATGGAAGATTACTTGCGTTATTGAATATTCTGTTTTGTCCCCACAGTGCAAAGAACAAAGTGAGGCCATGCTAGAGAAAGCTTGTATCACAGTGGAGAATACCGCAAAAGGTGGCGGTGTTTATCCAGAAGTGCTTTTCCAAGTGGCAAAGTATTGGTACGAGTTATATCTCCGGGTAAGTTCAACTGGTGTAAATGTATTAATTTATTATATATACCCTCTCTATTATTTTTTTTTATTTGATTAGCAAACTCCTGGTGGAGATCAACAGGATGAGATTCCTCATGATCCTCTACAATTGGATCTCAACGGGGTATTATTAGTCGAGCCGGGACCTTCCGTAGACCTATCAAATACTCAAATGATGCCCGGACCGGCGCAGACAGTTGTTGTTACTAGCACGCAACCACCTCCTCAGCCCTACACTCATCCAACGATTACAACTCTGGCGCCTTTAGGTAAAACAATCAGGCTTTAAGCAATTTTCTTGGTTTCTTAAAAATATCATTTTAAACACTCTCTTAGAAGTCAATCATTTTACATCATTTTAAATATTAATATGTTTGTTTTAGGAGTCAGTATGCCATATGCCGTAGGCCCGTACAGCTTTGTACATCCTCACCATTCTATCGCGACATTTAGCGGTCCGATGCCTTCGCATCGAGTCACTTTACCGCCTGCACCGCATATGCAAATGTACCATCCGTTTCCGCATCATCCTGGACACCCTCAACATCCACCGCATCCACATCATCCATCTCCGGCTGCCCCACCTCCACCTGGACCGTATTACGCGCCGCAACCTCCACCGACGCCAGGAACGCGTCATTTATACACGATGCAACAACCTCTTCCGGTAAAAATTCTATTGCGTGTTTTTATAGTCTCAATAATCAGATGAGTATAACTTTATATATGTTATTCAGGCCCAAGCAGGAGTGGCTGGTCCTCTCCCTGGGCAAAATAACTTGGCTGGACCTGCGTTAGTTCAGCCACAACCCATAATATCGACTGTGAGAGCTCAACCTCAGGTAATTCCTAGCATTGCAATGCAATACACATAATATAATATATTTAAACAAAAATATATTGATTATATATTGCGTTTTAGGTTCATAGACAAAGTCAGACATTTAGTCAACAACAATTGCGGACTCTTGTTTCTGCATACCGTGTGGGTATGCTAGCGTTGGAAACTTTGGCTCGCAGAGTGCACGATGATCGGCCTCAAGCCAAATACGCGCGAAATCCGCCCTACGGAGAGGATGTTAAATTTTTACTCAGAGTTGCAAAGAGACTCGGTACGCAGTACATGCATCAGCTTTGCATTTGTGCTGTGAACAGCATTGTTAGTCCTTTTGTTCTTCATCATGTCGCTCTGGAAGCGGCCCAATATCTCGCTAGGAACAATCCAGCGTTCATCGTGCATCATCTGAGATCTGCCTTGTTGGCTCCTCTAGTACACAAGTGCCAACAAATGTTAGTATTGATATTTATTATATCAAAATGAAAGAATTAAAGATCGTGGTTTTCAGAATCTTTTATACTCGACTGGTGATTAATAATAATTTAAATGATTTAGATAATAATTTGTACGTCTTTCGATTTCAGGTATATTCAATGCATGCATCAAAAATTGTATCATTTAACAGCTGGCGATTATGAAGAATTTGCAAGCATTGTTTGCGCGGCAAGGGCTGCCTTTCAAATTAATCCCGAAGGAAATACTCAATTCAAAGAGTGGTTACAATCGATCAAAAGGTGAAATAAATACAAGTGCAAATATTTCATAGGAAATGGATACGCGAATATACAGGGTGTCCCAAAAGTCCCGGACCGGTCGAATAAACTATGCACTTTAGAAAGAAATGTTTCAGACAAAAGTTGTGGCTTGAAGGGGGCCATCAGATAGTGGCAATGATTTGACCTTGGAGAGTCATTTGAAGGGGACGTAAAGGTTACCTTCAATTTCTTAAATGGAACCCCCTATTTTTTATTACATATTCGTGTAGCTTACCTCGAGAGCTTTCCAAAACACTATAATAAAGTATTTCTTCATTGAGTACTTTTCGAGTTATGAGGCTTGAAATCATTTCTTAATTTTGCATAAACCGTAAAATATCTAGTAAAATATTCATTTTTTGATTATCTTACCTTAATACTTTTATGTACAAAATAATGAGAGGAATCAATTGGTGTAAAGAAAACACATAGATGTTTTTAAAAAAATATGTAATTGTTAATTGCAAATTACATATTTTTTTCTTAAAAACAACTATGTTTTTTCTTTACACCAATTAATTCCTCTCATTATTTTGTACATAAAATTATTGAGGTAAAATAATCGAAAAATGAATATTTTACAAGATATTTTACGGTTTATGTAAAATTAAGAAATGATTTCAAGCCTCATAACTCGAAAAGTACTCAATGAAGAAATATTTATTTATAGTGTTTTGGAAAGCTCTCGAGATAAGCTACACGAATATGTAATAAAAAATAGGGAGTTCCATTTAAGAAATTGACGATGATCTTCACGTGACTTTCAAATGACTCTCCCATGTCAAATCATTGCCACTATCTGATGGTCCCCTTCAAGCCATACATCTTTTGTCTGAAACATTTCTTTCTAAAGTGCCTAGTTTATGAAATATTCGACGGGTCCTGGACTTTTGGGACACCCCGTATGTGAGAACAATAATTTAACAACGATCTTTTCAGATCTCAGTCGTGTAATAAAGATCTGTGGGCACAAATCAACGCGGCGTTACAACAGACCGGCAAATGACACAGAGCGGAGCCAGGCGTGACGTGGCTCACTTCCCTTCCCCATCCTCAACCTCCGCCACCACCACCACCACCACCACCACCGCCACCGACAACGACAACTCTCGTTCTACAGCATCAACATCCCTGTCACCCCCATCCACAGAGCGTCGTATGCGTTCACGGGCTGGCTGCAGTCAATAAGCTCGCTTGGGATAAGATTTCTATACCATGCATCATTGAAGAACCGACTACACATCAGCTACCACCGCCTCATCAACATCAGATGATCGCCGGTCTACCAGGACCATCCGCATGGCAAGAACCAACTGATGGCCGTGGTTCTCAGAGAATCAATACCAGAGACGAGCGAGATTTATCTTAAGTTTAGTTAATGTATATTTAGAAACGCATAAGTACTCTAGAATTGATGAAGATCAAGATATTGATGAGAACGAATATGAGTTAGATTAATTTAATAAAATAACATATTATATAAAGTTTTTATAACAAACAAATTAAATATATTTATATAAAATTATATTAGTTATTTTTTATACTGACTTAACAGATATCAAAATTGTTGCGTTTTTAAACAAGATAATAAAATGATCGATGGAAACATTTTTCTATTGAATAGATGGGTTTTAGATACATTAAATATATATAAATAAAAAGTAATGTGATAATATATAGTCATCTACTACATCTAAGAAAAAGAAAAGTGAAAAATTATAAAAACAAGTATAAAATATTATATATATATATATATATATATATATATATATATATATAAATAACCCTTATATATATATATATATATATATATATATATATAAATAACCCTTAATATATATATATATATATATATATATATATGTGTGTGTGTATTTAAACATAAATAACCCTTAATTTAAAATCTAAAGAAATACTTGGCTTATGACTTGCTCGCGCGTTTTTTATATGATTCAAAGTCAGAACATGAAATTTGATTTATAGTTATTTTTATATACATATCACTTTATGCAGAAAAGATACATCTATATGATTAGAATCATTTAATAATTCATCATGCAAATCTCACTATACGAGTAGCATATGTGTAAAACTTGATATACATACTTATATATATACATATGTATGTATGTATGTAATGTATGCATATATGCATGTATATATTAGCTTTTTTACTTCCTTAAATGAACATGATATTAATGAAACCACATATAAATTAGGTAAATTTAGTACATATATATAATAACATATAAGCAAAGCATTTCTTTAGATTAAATTAAATTACTTATGAATAATAACTGCATTTATTAATAATTTATTTTTTTTTTATTTTTGGAAGAGATGCAGTATGTGAGAATATCACCTTATTTTTTTTTCTAATTCACTTATTTAGGAAGATTATAATCAAACTTGTATTAGAAAAATACTAATACTTGTATTAGAAGAAATTTTTACATTTTGTTTCTTTATTATCATATTTTATGTTTGTATATCTTTTTTTACTTCTTTATGGACAAAGACATATACGTATAATGATGATTATGCTTGTTATATATTATGTATATTGGATTCGATATATTCAAAAAATAAAATATTGATTTCATAAAAGTATCTTTTGCAAAAAATAATGTTATATTTAATAATTTGATATCTATTAAATCAGTATAATAAGTATAATATAATTTTATATAACATATATGTTGGATTTTATGTTACAAAGATTTTATAATATGATATATTATGTGCTGTGCTAATTAACATTTGTATAAATTATATAACACATTCTGCAGTATAATATCTTAAATTACAAATATCATAAAGCTGCATTTGCAGGATAGTACGATCATACATTATTGTCGAACAATAAGATCCCTATAAAAATAATGAAGCATGGAATACACTAATTTATAACAGCAAAATAATTACATAAAATAATATGTATTTATTTATATATTAATATATATTAATATATAATAAATATATATTAAAAATTACGTTCTTTCTTGTACTATTTTTATTAGCCGCGATTAAAATTTCCTACCTAATTAAAATTATTAAATTTCATGAAAGAATGCTTTTACATATTTTACATATATTCAATGATTTGTTCCAATTTGTAAGCGAGTCATCAAACATGCAGAATTATTTTAGGCAATAATAAGTTCACAAAGAATAATTTCGACACAATTATAAGAAAATAGAATAAGAGAAATATTATTTTCGGATTGATTCAATATATTTCAAATATATAACGTATATGAATTTTCAAAAATAACTCAATATTGTATTGCGTATATTATAATATTTCTTGCAAAATAAAGAAAAACAAAAATGAGAAGGAAAAGAGACGAGAAAGAAGAGGAGAAAAAAACAGAAAAATAAAAGGGAATAAAGAAAGAAAAAGGAAATAAAGAATTATGAAGATTTAAAACTAAATATATATAATTTATTAAATTTATATAATATATAACACAATTTTTTTAAATATAATTCGAAAAAAGTATTATATTGCTAAGTTTTTATACCAACAAAAACATATATAAAATTTATAAATTAAATAAAATTACATTGAATATATGAATAAGTTTCAATATATGTTGTAGCAAATAAACTTTTATGCGAAGTCGGTTGGATGCATTGGCGCACATCAAAATGTGCGATTTAGACACAATTTGCATAAGGACACTATAATACATAATTGATTGTATCAAAAATGGTCCATATTTACTTAAAATATTTTCTATAATGTATTACATGCGATGCATTGAAGAATGAGAAGATAAGATAAGACTCGGATGCGAGCCGCCTATCATGATTCGTTGGGTTATATATATTCATCTTTACGTTTTTATATTTAGGCAAATTAATGTACAACAAGCTTTAGCAAGAGTTCGCATTAATACGAACTGCATTCTAGAGCGAATTCACATTATTTTAAGTTTTATATACATACGTATACTATATATATATTCACTTTATACATATTTACTTTGTGTCTCACATGATTAATCAGAAATTATGGACTATGCTAAACGTATGTATGTGTCCTAATCAAATGATGTGTGCATGTGTGTGTGAGATCGAGATATATTATTGATCACCAGGGATTCTATATATACGTCTCTTCATGTAAATTTGTGTACTACCTAGTTGTTTACGTTTCAATGTGCGTCAACGAGAATTTGTGCATCCTATAAAATTCACATAAATGTTTATTTGCTACAGCATGATTCTACGTACGTGTTTTCATCATATATGAGAACACAAAAATAATAAATTTACTCATATATATATATTCAATCTAATCTTACTTAATTGTACAAGTCACAAAGTGAATATGTATAAAATTTAAGAGAATGATGTGAATTCGTTTGACCGTATTATCGCGTATTAATGCGGACTCTAAAGCTTGTTATACATTAATGTCCTTAAATGCGGAAACATAAAAATGAATAGGAATTAAGATATAATAATTTACTATAAAAATTTTGTGCATAAAATGACGATGTATTATATAACGGTCAAAAATCAAAATATATGTTTGGGACTCCTGTTGGACGCGTAGAAAACAACCGAATCAAACCGCGGAGCCATTTTCTTAGTTAATTCTTCATGTCTTTGGCTGCGCAATTAGATAGGAAATTTTATTTTTATCGATAGATAGAATTAATTCTTCTTTTGTTTTATTTTTGTAAACAAATGACAGTAAAGTAAAAGATGGTAAAGCCTTCTTTCGGATTTTTCCTTTTTTTTATCCCATTATGCTATATATATATATATATATATATATATATATATATATATATGTATATATATATATATATACATAATATTCGCTTTCTATTGTATCGTAGATTTACATTATTCTAGATCTGATCATAATATATTCTCGTTTGTCTTTATTGACAATTCGAAAAATGATCTCTGTAATTTTTAAATTAAAATAATTTGAGATATATAAATAAAGAAAAAACTTACAGTCGACATATCACTTTCAGATTTGAGCCACCTATCCACGTAACACACACACACCTACTATCCTATAAAATACAACTGATTATAAGATTTACTGTCTTTTCTTCTCGTTCCATGCGTTGCATTTCCTGCTTTGTTAAAGGAATATAAACAAAAATGTAATGCCATTTTTATTTCTTTTTTTATTAAAGCTAATTAATATATTGGTGGCTCGTCAACGATAATTGTAAATCCATCTTGGTATGTATCTTACGTTCGTTATAAATTACCCTTAAAACACCTGTTAAGCTATTATAGGAAAAATGAAGAAAAAGAAAGAGTTTTTCATTGCTTACATTAAATCTGCGTGATAGCCTAAGTGTGTGAATTATAAAGATTAAATAATTAAATGCCGCAACATATAAGTGTAAGAAGGAAAAAGATTTATTTTCACTATGTAATTAAAAGCTATAGCACGCGAGTGACACGCCATGCGAAGTGTATAACGATAAAGATAAATAATTGTTATTGTTTTTAGTATGTGAACTCTGAACAGTGCCTCGTCAAAATCTATGTGAAGCCCTTTCCGAGAGATGTTCCGTGCATAAGGTCTAGCGTCTATATAATTCGTCTCTACGATATTGTTTACTGTCTGTTATTCCGTATTCTTCGTCGACCTTATATCATAGGACTATATCACTTGAGATAGAAAAGAAGCTAACATAAGTTCAATTCTAGAAGTAACATCGATGTGAGAGTAATTATTAAACGATTAGCATAAGTTCGTGGATTTAGAAATCGTATGTGTAAGCTACATCCCAAGTTTGTGCTAGCGAGCAACTAGTCCGACTAATCTGACTTTTTTTATTCCAACGTCACCCTAGGATCGACGTTTCTCGTAAAAAAAAAACGCTGAAAGAGAGGCAGGAATGACAATTCGTTCCATTCGTTTCCATTTCAACACGATATAACACACATCGATGATGCGGCTTGTATTTTTGCGCGTTCTACGTAATGTCGTTAGAGATAGCGTTAAGCGAGATTTAGCGCGACTAGATATCCGTAGATATGTAATAAATAGACAGAGATGCGTCGTCATGTAGGCTCAACCCGTACGCGAGAAACAAATGTTTTAAATGGCACTGCCACTAATTAACGATATCTTG